TCAAATCTGTCACCGAATACGTCGTAGTTTCCAGCAGTGAACTTCTTCTCTTCCACCGCAGTGGCCTTGGCCAGCGTACTCCCACTCATCAGTCTGAATCCAGTCACAGTCAGAATGGTGCTCTTTCCGCCCTTAAAAACAAGAAGTTGCTCGTCCTTGTTTTTGGACTTGGTGACTTCACTCTTCATCAATGCATCTGGTTTGTAGTTGGATCCATCGATGTTTGAGCCAAATTTGGCTTCCTCTGGCTCCCATGCTGCCACAGTCATAATCAGTGCATAAATGTTTAATTCCATGGGTAATTTTTGTGAAAAACAAAGGCAAATTGGGTTGTATAGGAGTAATAAGAGAAACTTGTAATTGAATAGGCAATTTAGTGGATGAATGGACTAAGTGTGGCGAACACCGTTCTTGGTGCGCCTGAAACTAAGACAACCATGAGCTACTTGTGACGGGTTGACTAATAGATTGTTTATTAAGAAACAAATAAACAATCGTAGGTATAAAAGAACTGGGGTTTGGAACCCCACGATCAGTAAATGAAGACACCTAAGAAGACTGATAAACCTGTTGAAGATACTGAGGTTTCGGATAACAACACTAAGATTGACAAATCAACTAATAAGACACAGTTAATGGCAGTTATCATTAATAAGACCAAAAATGAGCAAATTAACTTACACTATAGTGTCCGCCAGCCACTTTGGCCTCTAATCTGCTTCCCCATCTCCGTGTTGATGTCCTTAGGCTGAAATGTGATAGTTTTTGGTGCAGGAAACGACTTGTTCGTCTTGAGCTTGAACAACTCGTCCAGCATCGCAAATCTCTTGTTTCGTACTCCAAGAATCTCCTTATTCCTGTTTAGTGCATCAAAAGTGTGCAACTTGCTCTTCAACAACTCGTCCTTCTTCAAAATGTCAGTTGCTGGCTTCACCTCGTGCAAATACATGCAGTCAGCGAGTAGACTCCGTCCACTTCCATTCAGGTGGTTCTGGCATGGGATATTCTTTAGGAAAAATGTACAATATTTCGTAGTCCCATATGTACAGCGAATGACTCTTCCGCCATAGACGGACTCGTCTACCATTCGTATGCACCTCTCAGCCTCCTCGTCTCGCTCGTACGTGATGTACGCGCATGCAGTGCTATTTTTGAGTGGATTCACAATGATCTTTTTGATGCTTCCAAACTGCCCAAAGTGGTCGTGCTTCCTCAGAATGGTCTCTCCTGCACTCATACTCAGCCCCATGATGTAGACCAGATTCCTCTTTATCACGCGTACGTTGCTGTAGTCCGCTCCTGGACAACTCTCTGCTTGGCTTATCATTATTGGTGATTTGGGATAAAATTTTATTAAATTTTTGCTGTTGTGATTTGCCTCTGATTATTTTATGAAAACAGGCTACTACAAAATATTCAGAGGCAAATTGTCAGCCTCAACTC